AGAGACAGAGAGGTGGGGGCAGGAGTGGGGCACAGGGGCACAGCCACCCAGGCTGCAGCTATGATATGTCACTCCTTCTCATGGCTGAGCACTATGCCACTGCAAGGACTTGGCCACATTGTGTACTCATCAGCTGATGGACACTGGGGTTGCCCTAACCTGACTGTGTATCAGTGCTGCTGTGAACTTGGGTGGACAAGTTCTGGTGAGCACTTACCCAGCCGTGGGATTGCCAGGTCATGTGGCAACTCTGTCTTTTGTGGACACACTGGCCCACTCTCCCTGGGGCCTGCCCTCTGCAGCCCCCAGCCCCAATCCTGGACACCAATCACACTGGACAACCCCAGATGCTGGGCAGACTCCAGGAGCTGGGCAGCCTGGGAAGGAGGGACTAGAGGAGAAGGCCTGGCCCCAGCTGCTCCTCCCAGCACCCAAGGGGACAGAGGTTTCAGCAGTGACAGCCAAGGAAGGCCCTAGAGGGCAGGAGTGTGAGGGGGTGGGAAGGGGCAAAGGGGTCCAGGGGGTGAGGGGGGTGGCAGCAGGAACAACATTGACCCCAGAGGGCCTGCAGTCCCTCCCAGAGCAGTGGCAGCACCCAACTGGCTCCAGCTTCATGTGAGGGGACATAGGGCTCTGTGAGCCTGGGCCAAGGGGCTCTCAGACTGAACTGACCTCACACTGGCCCTGCTCAGTGCTGACCCCACACTGACCCTGTTCAGCACTGACCCCACACTGGCCCTGCTTGGCCCTGACCCCACACTGGCCCTGCTCAATGCAAGCCCGGGTGGGCAGGGAGGCACACTCACAGCCTAAGAGGTCAGATGGGCCCCTGGTTGGGTCAGCTCTAAGGTCTGAGCTACCAACCTGGGCACATCCTCACTGCGCATTCAGGCGGGTGTGATGGACGTACCCTGCTAGGGATGCCGACGGCCTTCCCAGGCAGGTGCCGACTATGGGATGGATGGGTGTTCTGCACAGGGATGTGCTAAGCTGCAGGAGGTGAGAAACCCCAGGGACATCTCCCTCCTCCTGAACATGGAGGTGGCCCAAAATCACTTCTTAATAGTTCACAGGCTCCACTCCTGAATTTTTAATGAGTTCACAGGCTCCGCAGCCGGCACCAGGTGTGTCTGCCCTGTGCCCCCAGTGGGAGCAGGAGGGTTCCGGCTGCCCTACTGGGGCCCTGCTCAGCACCCTCATGGGTGTCCAGGAGAGTTGCCCTAGACATACAGCACTGTCTCTGCCCACCGCCCACCCAGCCACTCTGCAGAGGGCTGAAACAGTGGGGGCTGAAACAGTGGAGGCTGCAGAATTCCGCCTGTGGAACTGCTGGCCCAGAGCTGAGAGGGGTGGGGGGGGCCAGGAGTTGTTGCCACATACCAGCTCTGACCTGGGGCTGTCCTCCACCTTCCAGGACTCAGTCTAACCACCTGCCGAGTGGGGAGGGCACCACGCCTGGACTCCCCAGGGCCGGTCAGAGGCTGCACATGCACACACAGCCATGTGGTCTGTCAGGGCACCGGAGGCCCAGGACACCCCAGAAACAGGCCGACCCTGCTGGCACCTTGGCTGCAGCCATGCCTTGGCCCTCCTGGGGTGAAGGACCAAGTGGGCATTAGGCGAAGAAGCGAAGTCCCAGATATGCCTTTTTAAAAAACACGTCAAAACCCACAGCCTGGCCCAGCCCAGCACACACAGAACAGGCATATCTGCAGGGCACACCTGTCTTCAGGGCACACACTTGGTCCTGCCCGTCCTGTGGCCCTGACTGCCATCTGGAAGGAGCAGTGAGTGCAGCAGTGACGAGATTGGGAGCCTGCCTGCCTCCAGAGATGCCCTTGACACCCCTACCCCCAGGCCTGGCATCCTTGCCTCCCTCATGGGGATGCCCCAGCTCCTGCTAGTGTGTCCTCCCCACTGAATAAGCCTCCTGCCTGCTGGGCCCACAGGGACCTACCCAGCCTCCCAGCTCCAAGACTGGCCTGCCCTCTAGTGGCAGCCAGCTGCACATACAACACACACGTGCACACACGTACACGCTCGCATACAGATGTGCACACAGATGTGCATGCATGTACATGCAGTACACACATGTGCGTGTGCGTCCAGGCCTACACGTGCGTGCACTGCCCTCATGTACACACATGTCCCTGTGTTTCTCAAGAGGGTTTTTCTTCTCCACATATTCTGAGCCCAGCACCCAGGGCGGCTTCCATGTAACTGAAGAAATAAAGATTTGTGGAAAGACGTCACACTCCAATTCTGTGACAGTTCCCTGGGGGTAACCCTCCCTCTCCCGCTGAGATCCATCCCTGCACTGCCAGCCTGTGCCCTTCTCTTGTTTTCCAGCCTGGCCACACAGTGGTGGGAGCACAACCTCACAGACACACTGGGGAAGGGACACAGCCAGGGCAGTGCGTGCCGCAGGGCAGGAGTGACCAGGGTGCCTGAGGTGGCCTGTGTAGTGGGCAGTGGGGCCGCCCCTCTGATGAAGTGCCACTCACTTCCCTTCCCAGTCTTGGAAAAACGCTAAGACCCCCCTACAGCTACAATTTCCAAACATGTCCTAGGAGGCAGCAGAAAATCTGATTTGTGAAGAACAGGAGAAACTTGGTGAGAAGTGGAGAGCGTTTCCAAAGCGAGCCTGCCTGTCCCCTCCGCGTCCTCAGTGAAGGGGGGACTGAAGTGACGCCAATCTGGCAGAGTGGCCAGCGGCTCCCATAGCAAGGCCTGTGCACGGAGCAAGGCACACACGGCAGGCAGCTCTGTGGGCGGCGTCCAGCACCCCTGGCTGGGGTGGCACAGGCTCTGTGGGCGGTGTCCAGCACCCCTGGCTGGGGGGGCATGGGCTCCATGGGTGGCATCCAGCAGCCCTGGATAGGGGGCACAGGCTCTGTGGGCGGTGTCCAGCACCCCTGGCTGGGGGGGGGGGGGGGCATGGGCTCCATGGGCGGCATCCAGCAGCCCTGGCTGGGGGACATGGGCTCCGTGGGTGGAGTCCAGCAGCCCTGGCTAGGAGGGCATGGGCACCTGTCATTGGGATTCATATTTGCAAGCCGGTCCACTGGGGCTAGTTCCAACCCCAGCCTGTCTCTGAGGTGTCCTTATTGGAGGCAGAGCCCTGACACAGAGTCCAGCGGCTCCTGCCCCTACTGGGTCCTTTGGGCCAGATGCAGCCACCAAGAGCAAGGGCCAGCCCCTAGGAGTGCAGGGGCAATGGCCACAAGGGGAAGACTGCCAGGGAGGGGCTGCTTGCTCTCTGCTCTGATGGACCATTTTCTTTCTGTGGGGACCCTGACCTCAGGGAGGGACCTCTGTGAGGAGCAGTGCCATGATGTACAGGGCTGTGGGCAGGCAGATGTCTGAACACACCACGGTCTGTGCCCAGAAGACAGGCCCTACACACACTGCTCCCAAGACAGCCAGCCAAGGGCAGCATTAGCCACAGTCTCCATGTGATATCCATCCTGTGTTCAGAAAGGGACCTGCTGGACATCCTGGTTTGTGTCATTCTGGACACTGCTGGTACCATCTGCATTTCACCTGTAACAAAGGCCTGAGCACAGACTCAGCATCAGGGACCCCAGCTGGTCACCACCCTCTGCCCTTCTCAACTGTGTGGCCCTAGGGAGCCGTGAACTGCCTGGCCCGCGCTGGACTGAGTGTCTCTGTCTTAAAGTGGGGCAGGACAGCACATTCTGCTGACCCCCTGGTGGTCATTCTGGTCACTTGTGCTGGGAAACTACTCCAGTCTTGGCTGGGCTCATTTGTTCCCCTGTTGCCAGCTGCCAGGTTGGCTTGTGGAGAGATGGAGGGGAGGGAAGAGGGAAGGAGGGAAGATGGCGGGAAGGGGGGAGAGATGGAGGGATGGAAGGGGGAGGGAGGGAGAGATGGAGGGATGGAAGGGGGAGAGATGGAGGGATGGAAGGGGGAGGGAGGGAGAGATGGAAGGATGGAAAGAGGAGAGATGGAGGGATGGAAGGGGGAGGGAGGGAGAGATGGAGGGATGGAAGGGGAGGGAGGGAAGGAAGGGGGAGGGAGGGAGAGATGGAGGGATGGAAAGAGGAGAGATGGAGGGATGGAAGGGGGAGGGAGGGAGAGAAGGGTGAATGGACAGGGATGATAAGGAATAGAAGGATGATGCGTGAATGGAGAGAGAAAAATGCTGATGACCCATGTGCTGTTTATAATTCCTTATGGAGTCAGGTTATAGAACTTGAGTACATTTCACAGAAGGGCACATCTGGGAACTGGCCTTTCCCTTTAACCTCTCACTTGGAGAACATCTACAAAGGTTGCTCCCCCAGTGGTACCAGGGAGAGGCAGGTGGTGGCCCCAGCAGAGAGCTGCCCACCAGGCTGGTCCACAGCTGCCACACCAGCTATGTCCTCCTGGTCAGAACAGGGGTGTGGAAAGCCACCTCTGCTGACTCAGGGACTCTGGCACCGATGGCCCCCTAGCAAGGGCTGGGCAGAGAAGGGCTGTGAGATGCCTTCACTGCCTAATAAAACTCACCCATTCTGCCTTCACCTTTAAAGTTCACACCTGTACCTGAGTCCCACCTGCTCCTTCAAGGCTGCACCTATAAGATGGCTGGGGGAGAGCGGGGTGGGGGGGGGTCTTTTCTCTCCATTTGAATTTCTGACCCACAGAACTCCCTCTAGACTGTCCTCTTCACAATTTTCCCTCCCTGGTTTTCCAAACCCAGTATGGCACTGGTGCTCCCTGGGGCCTCCGTTCTTTTACCTCAGTGTCACACATGACCTGCACTTCTTGAAGGCAGGACTGCCAAGACAAGCACACAGTCACTCCTCACAGTTCCCCTAGCACGGAGGACAGGAAGGGGACGTTCTTCTCCAGGCAGCACCTGTCGGAGAGCCACAGAACCCACCCTGTACACAGTCCCAGCCCCAGAGAGACGGCCTCCCCCCACAACAGATGCCCTATCAATTAAAATTAGCCTGACTCACGGCTTTCTCCAACTGGTCTCTCCCTTCCAGAAAGTTCAGCAGTACACGGTCATCGTTCAGGCCACAGACATGGAGGGAAATCTAAACTACGGCCTCTCGAACACAGCCACCGCCATCATCACCGTGACAGATGTGAATGACAACCCGCCGGAGTTCACCACAAGCACGGTGAGTCCTCCAGCCCCGCGCCAGCCTCTCTCCGCAGCTGACGGAGCTCGACTGGTCACAGGCAGCAGAGGCCTGGGTGGGAGAGACAGGACTCAGTGGGGACCCCCCGCTGTGGGGGGCATTGTGCTCCAGTCCACCCAGCGCCACCCAATGCCTGGAAAGGTACCTTCGTGAGGCCTGGAGGAGCTGGACAGTGGTGTTGGGCTGGTGTCGCAGCCGTTTCTAAAGGCCTACCAATGGCTGTGTGCTGTGGGACTTGTCTGGGGGATGCCCTTCAGGGCCTTGGTGAGGGCCACTGTGACCCTCTGTGGCCCTCTGTGGCTTCCAGCAGCAAAGGGGTTGTGTGCCCACATCACTGCCCAGGACCCACATGACTAAGTGCATTGGTGGGTGTCCTCACATCTGCTCCGTGAGTCTCACTGTGTGTCCATGGTGGCCCCCAAGCCCATGATTCACAGGGGTCTGCAGTTCCCATCTCCTCTGGATTCAAGGAAGAAGCGGCACCCCCAGAAGGGCCCCCTCCCCCAAATCCTCAGGGGTCACTGGGTGCCAGCAGACATTTCTGACCCTACTTCTATATCTCCGCACAGTCACAGGGGCCAGGTCCTGGCTCTGCTGCCTCCTCACAGACTCCCAGGGCCCCCAAGCTGGTTCATGGGGCCCTGCAGGGCAGTTCTGACATGATGAGCACAGGCCCTAGCCCAGGACGCCCTCCAGAGGGCTGCAGGTGCCTGGCTAGGACATGGAGTCAGCAGGGGCTCCCAGGCCAGCTACAGCCCTAGGGTGCTGGGGTTTCGGGGTCTGCCTACTCTGACAGCTCCATCCCCACCTTGTCTCTCTTCAAGGGCCAAGTGGGTGAGGGGTATGTGTCCGTGCTAGTGACAGTCACAATGCCAGTACGTCTGTGCAGCCCACAGGCAGAGCAGGGATCCTGGGACCAGCCCCATCAGGGTGGAGACCCACAGATGGCCCAGCACCTAGGGCGCCAGGAGGGTGGTCACTTGCCCAGAGCCATGCAGCCAGAGGGGAGCATGGGGACTGGACCACAGAAGCTCTGCTGGGAGCAGAGGGAGGAGCCCCACCTGCCACAGGGCAGCTCTCCAGGGCACCATGGGCTTGCCCAGGCATCTCAAGGCCAGAGCCCTCCTTAGGCAGCCCCCCACCCCAGGCTCTGGGGCTGCAGACCGGTGCAATCTCTTGGTCAGAAAGCAGATGGCATGGCGGGAGCCAGCTCAGGCCCCACCAGGCTTGGGGTCCCTGGCAGTGGCCCCTGAGCAGTAAGAGCAGCTGCTGAGACCAGGCAGGCTGAGCCCCAGGGCAGCAGTTCTCCTGGAACTGACCTGAGAGAGAGGCGTCCCAAGTCCTTCTGGGCTTCAGTGCCGTCCTCCAGCAATGACCAGGGTGGAGGAGAGGCTCATGACCTGCACCCCAGGGAGTCTGGACTTGAGGGAAGCAGTGGCCACCCTTGGGACCCTCTGTGTCCACCCAGGGCCACGTGGCTACTGCTGAGGACAGTTCATGCCAGGCCTGGCACACTTGCAGGAAAGGAACTTGCCTGGGTTATCTCTCAGTGAGGAGCCACTGCCAGGTCCAGGCACTTGGTGCCACCTACAGTGGTCCTGGGGTCACCCCACAGTGCTCAGAACCCTCTGCTGTGTCAGGGCCTCAGATGGGCCAGGGCAGGTGCCTGGGCACCAGGACACACCCTATTCCAACGCTAGCCAGCTGAACCCTGGTCACCTGGGTTGGCAGCATCATCCATTCTCCTAACCATAGGGAACCCCCAGTTCCTCCAGGACGCAGCCTCGGGACCTCTTGGTCCTCCTGCATGGAAACCAGGGCAGAAGAAAGCCAGGGAGAGTCCATCAGGGGTCTGTCCCCAACAGGAGGAAGAGATGTGACCCTGGGACCAGCGTTCAGCCCAGCCCCTCTGGAGAGCAGTGCCAGCAGGTCTCAAGGAGACTCCGCTGGGAGCCAGGTTGCCCCAGCCTGCCCTCACCCAGGTTACCCCTCTGTCTCTCCATCCAAACACGGGGTCCAAGCACCTGAGATGTGCTGAGCTCCTCACCCTGTCACACAGGCTGCAGGCCAGGCCGCCCCACAGAGAGCCAGAGGGCCCAGCATGGGCCCACCCTCCCACTTCCAAAAGGGAAACTCCACCTTCTATGTCCAAAAGTGTCAGCTAAAGTCTGAGTTACCAGGACCCAAAATTGGCACCCCCATCAACTCCAGGACCTGTGCTCCCCTGCCTTGGGTGAGATGGGGCTTTGCTCGCAGGCAGTGTCACACACTGGTCCTGAGCAGTCTGCCCCCCAGTGTGCACAGATATCTGCACCCACAAGCACCCCCATGTCCAAGTGCAGGGGGTTCCCACCACCACAACTCCCTCGCACCCCTCCAACATACCTGTGCCCAACACACATGAACTCTGCCTGCTCTGGGACATCCTGTAAATGGGCCACAGAGCACGTGACTGGTCTGTGTCTGGCCATCTCCTCGGGAGATGCCTGGGAGGCTCATCTGAGAGGCCTCACACAGCATTTCCCCCCGGGTTTCATTGTGTTCATAAATACCTGGAATCAGGCTGACCTGTGGAATGTCCACCTGGAGACAGGCACAGGTGAGGGCCGTGAGAGGGGCCAGGAGGACACCACTACGCACACTGCCAGGCTATTTTTACTAAGCCTAATCAAGGACAGTCAGCAGAAGCTGGAGATGCAGGGGTCTGCGTGATTTGATTTCTGGTCTCAAGCCGTAATTAAAGGTTATTTTCCCGTCGCCAGCTCTGAATGCAGCTATACTGCCCACCGCAAGGCCTTGGACAGTGTAAACTCCTGAAAACACTGTGGGTGGTGCCACCCACACCCAGGGGCATCGAACTGAGTGGCTGAGCAGACAGGTTTTGGTTCCAGTGGACCTGGTTCCTGTCACATCCCACTTGGTGGGGGGATAGGGGGCAGATTTGCAGGCAAAAACGTCTAAGCCTAGTCTCCTATTCTGTTAAAACAAACATGGGGAAGTAGTTAACATCTTATTGCAGTTTAAAAGTTGTACATGATGAGACATGTTGTATTTTTCCTGTCTGTTTTCTTGAATCATATATTCCCCATCCCAAGGCAAGCATGGATAAAAACAGGTTAAAAATTTTTTTAAAAGGAGGTCACAGTGGCCCAGGGTCCTCTACAGGCAGGACAAGAGGATGCCAGGCATTCAGGATGTGCCTGGCTCTCAGCATGCTCAGCGATTGGGGCTGTTACCCAGGATAGCATTTACACACAGACACTCACACAAAGGGGCTAGGAGTGGACCGTCCAGAGGCCAGGCCCAGGGGCTCACGCCCATGACCCCAGCACTCTGGGAGACCAAGGCAGGAGAATCCCTTGAGCTCAGGAGTTCAAGACCAGCCTCAGCAAGAGAGACCTCATCTCTACTAAAAATAGAAAAATTAGCTGGCTGTGATGGGTACCTGTAGTCCCAGCTACTCCAGAGGCTAAGGCAGGAGGATCGCTTGGGCCCAGGAGTCTGAGTTTGTTGTGAGTTAGTCTGACACAACAGCACTCTAGCCTGGGTGACAAAGTGAGACCCATCTCAAAAAAAAAAAAGTGGCTTTGCCAGAGGCAGGGTTCAATTGACCCTAGAAGCCCTGGGGTCTGCGGGTTGGTGGCCCTAGGTTTTGGGGTTCTTCTAAGGGGTCTGCCCAAGAAGCTCAGGGTCAGCAAGTGGAGTGCCATCCTCGAGAGTGACCTGCCCAGCAGGGTGAAGAGGCAGCCGCAGCACTGGGGGTAGACACATGATGGGCTAGCCTTGGCACCTTCCTGAGGACCGGCTGGGCTGGCCCAGGTGGCTCCGCATGGATGGCCCAATCCCTTGAGCCTGGCGGTGAGCCCATTCTGGCCAAGCCCTGTGATCCCCAACGTCCTCGGCTTTTCAATTACAGCACAAAGTTGGGGGAAGGGAGAAACAGCGACTCAGCATGAGCTCCTGAGAGTAGGAATTTGGCATCTTAAAATTGGAATGGACTTGGTGCCCTTAATTATGCTCGGGTGCGCAGTGCAAACCTCGGCCATAAATAATTAATTGGAGCCAGCTTTTCTGCGCTCAGAGGTGGCTGCCGCAGGGGCCGGGAGCTCCCACCCCCACCTACCATCCCTTCCACCTCCCCGCTCCTCTCCCCAGGTCCAGATCCACGTCCACTTCCTGGGGATGGCTGCCACAGAGCCACTCCTGAGACCCCAAGTCCAGCCCCAGAGCCCAGGTCTGGGCAGGAGGACCCCAGGGGAGACACACAGAAACTTCAAGTCCCATAGTGTCCTGGCCAACATGACGGTGGTTTCTCCACTCTCCTGGGGTTTCCTGGGCCCTGCCTGGTGGGGGTACAGGGGTCAATGGCCAGACTCCCCAGTTTCACGCCTGGCTGCACCACTGGGCAAGTTCTGGAGCATTCTGTGCCTCAGTTTCCTGATCTGCTCCACCTGATGGGTCATGTAAAGGCTGCTGTGTCCCTGGTGTCAGTCACTTGGCAGGACAACTGCTCACAAAAACACAGTGAATGACGGCAGTGAGGGGGTGCTGTTCTGGGCTGGGTCCACAGTGACCTCACTCCTCCCAGCAGACACTGCTGTGACATCGCTACCTGAGTGCAGGGCTGACCCAGGGTAGGTAGGACAGTGGGACAGTGGCCACCCTGATTCCTTCCTGGAAAGGAAGCGCAGCTCCTGCCCATGGGCTGAAACGCCAGGAAAGGGGTTTCCATTTACTCTGTTGGCTGTTGCCTGGGCCCTCCTCTAGCTGGCCTCGCCGTGGTCACTTCCTTGTGGGCTGTATTCACTCTCAGGGCAGCAAGGGCACATGGCCAGGAAGGGGACAGGAGGAGGAAGGGAGCAGGCAGCTTCCAGCTCCTCTAGGTATGAGAGCCATGGATCCTGCAATTCTGATTTCTGACCTCAGAACCCAAGAGAAACCATCGTTGTTTTACTGGATAGAAAACTAAATCTCAAACATTAAAATTCAAGTTAAATAAAATTGAAATCTGATTTAAATTTAAATAAAATTAAGTTATTTCAAATTAAATTAGAAAAATTTTAAAACATCATCACATCCTAAGAAGCAGCCTCACCGTGAATTCTACAGCAGAAACAAATATGAGTGTGGGAACCTCAGTGGTCTGTCTCAGGGGCTCCCAGGCTCAGGGACACAGACCCAGCCCTCAAGGGACAGGAACAGCAGGGGGCTCCCACTATGCTAATTAAGGAGACAGACCCTGGGCTCCAGCTGGCCATGGCCATTGGCCAGACAGGCAACCCAGGGGAGAGCAGCTCCAGGTACACATTCCAGAAAGAGCCCACCAGGCCCAGAAGGGGTGTGGGGAGCCCTGAGATAGCCCAGGAAGGGCAGGGCCAATGCCCCCCACCCCTATGTGGCCCTCAAGCCCCAGAACTGTGCCTGCAGTCAGCTCTGCAGCGTGGCCTCACTGGGGGCAGCCCACACACTCACACAGGTGGGGTGCTGTCAGGGTCCGGGGGTCTCCCCTGAGGCTGCACCTCTTGCTGTGTAGCTGTGGGCAAGTCCAGTCCCTTGCAGGGCCCTGGCGTCCCCCTGCCTAGGGCCCTGCGTTCTTGGGTACCCCTGGGGGCTTCAAGCACCGGCTCGATTACTCACAGACGTGTGGCCACAGGCCAGTCACTCAGCCTCTCCGATCTCTATTCCCTGACTATAAAATGGAAGCCGGGGCGGACCCTGAATTGCAGGACCCAGCAAACAGGAGAGGGGGTGACTCTCTGAGCACAAATGCTGACTCTTCCTCCCTGGGGACAGGGCCACCATGGCCTAGGCGCAGATGCCATGGAGGTCTCAGAGTCCTGCTGGACGTGGTGTGGGCTGCTTCAGTCACTAACCACCTAACAGCCGCAGCCTCGTCTGAGGACACTGACTCTGGGCTGCGCTCCACCGTCCTCACCCAAATCCTCCTCTCATCTAAGCCTCATCTGAGGCTAAGGGTGCCATCCCCTGAGGATGCACGGATCTCTGGCTTGGAGCTGAGCTTTGCTGAAGGCCCTCAAAGGAAGATGAAATGCCCCCGCCTCCTGGGACGGGTGCACATTTGAGTTCTGGATTACAGTCTAGGCAAGCAATCCCATTCCAACACTCTTAGAATTCCTCCTTTCCCACGTATCTGCCTTTGTATCCCACGGGACCTCGGAGCTTTCTCTGTGCCTGAAAATCTGAAAAAATTAAATTAAAAAGTCATTATGGCTAGGAGAAAGTTAATAAGAAAATCCTAAACCAGATTTATCAGCTAAGGCCCTTCTTTGCAAACCTTTATTAAACTTGCATGAATTAAAATAGACTCTGCATACAAACTTCACCCAGAAGTCGGAAAGGAATGGACACAGAGCCTGCAGTTCCTCTGACGACGCAAGCCCTGCTCAGGAGGACCAGAGCCCTGCTGGTCATTTAAGCAGAGAGGGAAACTGCAAAGGATGTGAGGGACCCAAACAGGCCTAGCAGCCCCCAAAATCCAAGGGGCCAGATGTCTCAAGCACAGAGGCTGCTCCACCAGGGGCGTCCCTGCTGTCCCCAGGCACAGAACCTCAACCTCACTGACACTGGACAGGGTGCAGGCTGCCTCCTGGGAGCTCTCCAGCATTGGTCCCCTCTGCCTTTGTTCTGAATCACAGTCACACAGGTGCGCCCGACTGGCAGTCCTGACTCACCTGGCCCAGTTATGGCTCTAGGGGAGGCTGGAAAGTGAGCTTCTAGAAAATAAGAAAATAAATACAGAAGGTGATAGGGGGCCGGGAAGCCTAACCAATGTCCACTACACTGACACTGACAACTTGAACAAAAAGAGAGGCCTCATCTCATAAATACCAAAGACTCAGAAACTCTAACTTCAGGCACAGCTGGCTCGGGCTCCAACAGCCTCTCCATGGCCATCCCAGCAGCCCTGCTCCTCAGGCCAACTTTGTCCTCAGGCTGTGTGCAACAGCCCCACCCAGCACCATGGACCAAACACCAAGGCCAGACGCAGCAGGACACCCAGAACTGAGCCTTGACGGCCTGACGTGGGCCACTTGCCCATTTCCAAGCCAGCTATTGAGGCAGGAGCCTCAGGGGTTGAGCACAGGGGTCTTCAACCATTATCTGTGAAGGGCTAGTGTTTTCATCCGTGGTCGCCATGCCTCTGTCACAGCTACTCAACTCCACTGATGTAGCTCAAAAGCAGCCACAGATGATTTGTAAGCCAATGGGCATGGCTGTGTCCCAATAAAACTTTATTTACAAAATAGGATGCAAGCTGGATTTAGCCCTGTAATTTTCCAACACTTAAAAGGACCAGAAGCTGCAGAGAGTTGCCTGTGGCTCCTGGGTCCTCCACCTCCTGGAGGTTGTCAAGAAAATGTCTTGCCCCAAGATTCAGGCACGTTGCTCTAGAGAAATGTGGTGCCCCAAACAGAGGGGGTACAGGGTCTGCATGTTGGGGGCATCTCTGAAGTGTGCTGGTTCTCAGCATATTTAATGAACTTAGATCCTGGGCTGGGTGGGGAGCCCTGCCAGCCCCTATAATGGGACCTCCCCTGAGGACCACCAGGAAGGGTTGTCACATCAGCCCCCATCTCTCTGTCCTGCCCCAGGCCCTCCAGGGAGTAAGTGAGCCCCTAGACTCACAGCCTGGCTGAGTCCTGGGACTTATGCATAGGCCTCAGCAACGTCCCTCCAAGTGTCCCCTCCCTATTGTCCTTGGCCTGAGACCTGGCTCTTCTCTCCCACCACAGGCAGGCCGGCAGCTCCTTGCTCCTCACTTCTGGGTGTTTCTCCCCCTACAAATGCCCACCTTGTACCACTGGCCATCGGACTGAGCAGCCCCACCATCCTGCCAGCAGCACTGCTGTGCCCCCTGCCACCCTGCTGTGCAGTATGGTGCCCACTAAATGTCCGATCTCTGAGCATGGAGGCCTGTCTGTCCTGGGAGGACAGTCCTGGGCCTGGCAAAGATTGTTGACCGCTGGGCCCAGTTGGCCCCTCCAGCTCCCTGCAGAAGCCCCGCCTCGTCCCAGCTGTGCATTCCCAGCTCCAGCCCCTGGGCCAGGAGCAGCGACAGCAAGGGGAGCCCAGGCCACACTGGACAGACAGGAGCTGTGGGGGTGTCACTGTCAGCTCTAGAGTTTAACAAACATGGTTCCACTAAACCCCAAGATAAGCTCTGTGACCACCGTGCACAGACACCACCAGTGACTCCGGCTGAGATGAATTTGGGGTAAACACAACTTCTTCCTAATAAGTGTCATTTCTGGACTTGAATCCTTACCTGTAGGAGGACGGGCGGGGCCAGTCATACAACGGCCTGAGCTATGCTAAGCTGAGGGTGAGGGTGAGAGTGAAGGGCTGCGCTTCTGGGAGCGGAGCAAAGGCTCCTGGTGGGGACAGGCCAGTATGTTCATTTCTGCGTGTTTCCATGGGGCTTCCATTCTCGAGTTCATTCATCAGCAGAGACACCAGCCTTGGGTCAGCAGGGACAGCTGCCATCTGTATGGCCCCGTCCCATGTTCACAGATGCTCACAGCACGTGGCTCTTGTCAGCCAGGGAAGCTGGCTTGTCACACCAGCTGTGCGACACTGCACGCTGAGCCGGTGCTCCCTGGGCCCCTGTGCTCTGCCTGGAGGACTCACCTATGGCAGACGCAGTCTGTGGGCCACACCACACCCACTTCCTGGCCCCTTATCCTGTTCACACTTCAGAACACTCCCTTCTCACAGCTCCTGGTGCCATTGACACCACCATGGCCATCTGCCAGTCACATAGCCCTGCCCGGGAGGGCTCACTTCCTATCCACAAGCCTGCCAGGAGCCCCTGCTGCCTCCAGCCTGTGCGAGCAGCTTCCACATTCTCAGCTGTGGCTGCACAGCTCAGCTCTCGGCCTCCTCCAGGCCTCTCCTCCAAGGGTGCCTGGGATCTTCATTCTGTCCTGTCCGATCTCCCTGACTCCCTCTTGTAGGCCCTCACGTAGGGCCCACCCAGGCAGTCCAGGATAATCTCCTCATCTCAAAACCCTTATCATAGTCACATCTTTTCTCACGTAAGTTCTAGGGATAGAGGTGTGGCCTTGTCTTTAGGCCACCATTCTGCCAGTACAGGTGGAAACTTTGGGACCAAGAAGGGGTCTAAGGCGGGGCTGGGAATGAAAATAAGCACTTCTTCTTCTTAAGACACTTGTTAAGACCAGCTGGGGGCTGGTCTAGCTGTGGCAGCCAAGCCAGCGCCCCCTGCCCAGCCACACTCCAAGGAGCTAGTGCCACCCCCTCCCTAGGCAGCCCATGGGCTCTGTTCCCTGCCCCAGACACAAAGTGTTCAGCTTGTGAAAATTCCCCAAGCCATGGACATACGATATGCCCCTTGCTGTACGTATGTTACACTTAAAACAGGCTTGTGACATCCCTTCTTACTATCTGCAGTTTGCAGGGGAGGTCCCTGAAAACCGCATAGAGACAGTGGTGGCAAACCTCACGGTGATGGACCGAGATCAGCCCCACTCGCCAAACTGGAATGCCGTCTACAGAATCATCAGCGGGGACCCTTCTGGACACTTTAGTGTGCGCACTGACCCCGTCACCAACGAGGGCATGGTCACCGTGGTGAAGGTGGGTGCCTGCATGTACCTTGTCAGACACCCCAAGCTCTGCACATGTGCTGGGACCAGACAAACAGAAATGGCACTGGGCATAAAGTGTGCACCATCCCTGATGTCCAGGGGCGGAGGACTGTGCCTAGCCTACTGGGGGCAAAGACAACCTTCACAAGGACCCAACATGTACCTACAAGGGCTTGGCAGACCCCCCCAAAATTACTTTCCTGTTCCCTTCCTGATGTCTGTGTCCCCCCCCCCACACCCTTAATCTAGTAATGGGTGAATTTCACTAACAGAATTCTCAACGTTAAACCATCCTTGCATTCCTGAGATAAACCAGATGAGCCATGAAGTGGTATTTTGTAATAGGAGTAGTTTTACTAATAGCTGAAGACTTCTCATGTGCTTTTCTGAGCAATTTAGGCCTATGGTTTTCCTTTCCTATAGCAGCCTTATCTGGATTTTTGTATCAGGGTTATAGACTAACCTCAAGCGGTGTTGGGGAGTGTTCCTTCTTCCTTTGTCCCTGAGACAAGTTGTGTAACAGTGTAATTATCTGTCCCTGGAGCATTTGTTTGGGCTTCACTTTCCAGCCATCAAGTGGGTCCCATTTTTGGTTTTTTTAATGCTTCTTTTTGTTTTGGAGTGGGATAGATTTATAACTACCATGTTTCCCCAAATAAGACACTGTCTTATATTTATTTTTTCTCAAGAAGACACACTAGGGCTTATTTTCAGGGGATGTCTTATTTTTATTAAGTATAATACAATAATCTACATTTATTCAAATACAGTTAAGTCATCTTCTTCTGGAACCTGACAGTGGGAGCTGACCTTGTTGGTGGGGTTGGCACTAGTGATGTGTGAACTCCTTTTCCCTAGACATTCGCACATGCGCAATAGGACAGGCTTATGTAAGTAAACTTGAAAATTAAGTGGGAGATTAACTGCGACCATGGTTACCACACGTGCAACCACCCAAGTAGGAATGGCTCGGAGAAAGGAGCTGTGGCAGATAAAAGGTATTCCAGTCTTCTTCACCGCTCCATGCCGAAATGCATGATGCGGCTATGCAGATATGCTGCATAGCCATGCCCATCACTAGGTCTTATTATCAGGGTAGGGCTTATATTTAACAAATACATAGAAATCCTGCTAGGGCTTATTTGGGGAGTAGGTCTTATTTTCAGGAAACACAGTACTGGGTCAGTTTCTTTAATGGTTTTGGTCAGATATGCTTTTCCAGAAAATCTCCCACTTAATTTTCAAGTTTAGTTACATAAGCCTATCATTATAGTAGTAGTGATTCAGTCCTCTAATTTAAGTATCTTTCTATACTATTATTATTAACATTTTGCTATATTTAATTCATATTTCCCTGGAAGCGTAGATTGTAGGTGATACAATAAAATCTATCAGTCTTTTACAACTTAGTATGAAGCAGTTTAGCAGCTACTGTTCCCAGAGCAATTATTAATAGAACTAAGAAGAAAGGAACAAGAAATCATTTGGTATTTTTAAACAAAAGAAGAATAATAAAAAAGTGAGCTTAGAGCTAATAGAATATGTCAAAGAGTGAGAAAAAGGAGTTTAACATTCAGTTGTATCATTTAGAAGCTGCATTCAGCTGCCATTGGCAGAGACCTAACCACAGAAATTCAAATACTTGAGGGCTCAATTCTCTCAAGTAAAAGAACCCTGAGATGTGCAGTTAGGGCCAATATGACAACAGCACAATCAATAGAAACCCTGACTCTCCTGTCCTGTCTGCCCTGCAAAGATTCATCCTCCAGGACACCTCATGGTCCAAAATAGCTGCTAAAGCACCTGCCATCACAAGAACTTTATAGGCAGTAGGGAAGGAAAATGAGGGAAGAATGATTCGCCCCTTCCTTACTAAGAGATCCTCCCAGGACGTCTGTTCACATCTTACCGGGCAGAGTTTAGTCACATGGTCATTCTTAGCCAGAGGAGATGCTGGGTGATGTGTTTTGTCACCTGGACACATTTTCTAAACTTCAGCTACTAAAGAAAAAGGGGAGCTGGACATGAGGTCACCAGCTCCTCCTCACATGGGGTGAAAATGGATTTTCTCTAGGACTCTGTTTATTTTTCTCAACCTCCCCAGATAACCTTTTTCTGTCTCCAAATAATCCAATATTCTAAGCAAGCTACAGAAGACCAGTTCTGCAAAAAAAATTGGTAAATTCCCTCATTATTTTTACTTTCCTTTTTAAACTTATTTATTATTTTTGAGACAGAGTCTCACTCTATTGCCCAGGCTGGAGTGCACTGGTGTCATCATAGCTCACTGCAGCCTCCAACTCCTGGGTTCAAGCCATCCTCCTGCCTCAGCCTCCTGAATAGCTGGACCTACAGGCACCTGTCACAATTTTTGGCGAATTCTTCTGTTTTTAGTAGAGTCGGGGTTTTGCTCTTGCTCAGACTGGTCTCAAACACCAGGGCTCAAACAATCCTCCCATCTTGGCCTCCCAAAGTGCTAAAATTACAAATGTGAGCTACTGCTATTTATTTGTTTTTAGAGACAGGATCTCACCCTGTGACCCACGCTAGAGTAATGGTGCTATCATAGCTCACTGCCTCCTGGAACTCTTGGGCTCAAGCAATCCTCCAACCTCAGCCTCCTGAGTAGCGGGAACTACAGGTGCCACTATCCACACCCAGCTGATTTATTTTTTGTAGAGATAGGATCTCACACTTGCTCAGGCTGGTCTTCAACTCCTGAGTTCAAGGGATCCTCCCACCTCAGCCTCCCCAGGTGCTGGGATTATAGGAGTGAGCCAACAGGCCCAGCCCTTCATCATTTTTACTGTATTCATAAAAATTTTTTAACATACATAAAAGCAGAAATAATAGTAAAATGAACCCTCATATACCCATCATCTAGATTTAATTATTATTAACATTTTGCTACATTTAATCAATTTGCTGAAGTGTTTGAAAGTAAATTACTATGTCATGACATTTCAATCCTAATACTTCATGAGCTTTCTCTTCAGGCAGGGCTGTTTATTCTTAGAGGAAAGACTAAGGGTTAAGTGTCAGTTTCCCCGGGGTGAGGAGTCAGCGCAGTTTCTGCACAGTAGCACCCCCAGTGGTGCAAATAGGATCTGCATGTGTGAGGACTGCAACCAGGCATCTCTGTCCTGAGTTAAAACTTAACAAAACCCTTTCTCTTTCTGTGTGCACACATTTGACATTGAGTGAACTTTCTAGTCCCTAGAAAGCCACAGGGGTGAGCTGTTAGGGCCTTGCCAGGTAACATTGCTCCGCGGAAGGGGACCCTGACCAGGACAGGAGCACAGGGATGCAGCCGCACACCGTGGCACCTTCCCCAGGGAGCAGCAGGAGGCTGTGAGGTGCCCTCCAAGCCTCTGAAACCCCCACAGCCCAGATTCCCACAGCCTTGGAGAGGTGGGGCAGTGCCAGGCCCCGGGAGCAGCCCTGCTTCTCGGCCCCGCCCCTGGCAGGGTCATTTCGTGACTAGACTTCAGCCCAGCTCCCCAGCTGGGGGAACTACCAGCAGCTTCTGAAACAGAAGCACAAAAGTCCCATAAGAAGAACAGAACTCTGTCCCCTGGTTGGGGAAGGCTGTCCCCAGAGGGTCCAGGGAGGGTGGCATCCTGGCCAGCAAGCAGTGTGATGGGAGGCATGGCTGTCTCCTGTGCCCAGGGGGATCTATGTAGATAATCTCAGCTGCAGAAGATGGGGCAGCCTCAGGGAGTCCCAGGGCCAGCTGTCCACGACCTGGAGCCAACCAGGCCTCACCTCCCTGGGCCACATCCCTCTGCAGACCCAGAGACCTCCTTCATTCTGTGACTGGGGCCGCCTGGTCTCCATCAGGCAGTGCCGACTCATCCGTGGACAGGGACTAAGGATCCCCTGGGACGCCTCAGCAGTGCCACCAAGAATTGATTCCTCAGGACTGAGAGTCTTCCTCTGGCCCAGGACACCTCTGAGAAGGACACTCAGAGACTGACTCACACCCAGCCATGTGGCAGCTTCTGGCCCTCAGCAGAAGGCCTCTCGGCCCAGGTGGGACTAGCACAGCGAGTACTGAAAGTGGCCAAGGGGCCCCTCTGCCCACTCTTGACCACCTGCATTCTCGCATGCGGCGGCAGCTGCCCTGTTGGAAGGCGGCTGGGTTTCTGTGCTGCCCCCTCCCCCAGCCCACCCAGCCTCTCTCAGGCCTGTGTATCGAGGACAGAGCTTCCCAAAATGTGTTCTCAGACTCCTGGTTCTCGGGATGTTACCTGGTGCTCCACCAGGGGCCCGTGATGGTTACTCTTTCCCCTCAGACTTATGACCCATCCCTCACTGGCTGATTATTGAAAGGCCATTGAGGGTCCATCCCTCGGACCTGGGACGCTTAGATCCCCACACTCAGGGGAACCGATGTGAGCCCAGCCTGTTACACCGGCATCTCCCCACAGAGCTGTGGGATCTAAAGGGGACCTGCCATGTGCCACGCACATAGGGAGGCTGGAGCCGGAGCCCTGATCTGAAGATGTGCAGGCACTGGGGGCTCAGGGCGCACTCTGCCTTTTCACAGCCACTTGTCCCCATCGGGAGCTGGGAGGAGCCTGTGCTTATAGCAGTGCACAAGGGAAGGGATGCCCAGGCCACTGGGGGCAGAAGGGCACAACCAACTGAAGTCTTTATGACCTGGAGAACTGGCTTGTCCTGGCTTCAGCACATCCTCAGACCTCTGCACCCCACATCTGCCAACAACACCCAGGCTGGGCCCCAGCCTGCCAGCAATGTTAATCCCAATAGCCAGAGTTGACAGGCCACGGGCTATCACCAGGATGTCCTTCTCAGCCCAAGGGAGGACACCTATGTCCCCATTTCACCAATGGCATAGCTGGGGGCTGACTCTCAGGACCCACAGCCAGTGCGTGTGCAAGCCAGGCTTGGCCAGGCTCCATCTGCTACTAATGCTGTCCATGCGGTTCTGCCTGTCTGAGCCAAATGTCCCTGGGTGTGCCAGGA